CATTTCTCTTCCTTATTCACATAAATGACCGTCCAGATATCATACCAGTATCTTTACCTGGGTGAAGTCGTTATATGAATTACTGATTCTATTCAAGCGCGGTCCCATCGGATGCCTCTGAATTAGACCTTCCACTCAATGATGAGAAATGTGTTTTTATTACTTTTTTAAGAGTATCAGATCAATACTTTCGGAAAAATGGTAGCACTCAATACCGAAGGACTAACCAGCACTAAACCTTGGCTTCCTGGAGGTGTAGTGGATTTTGTTTTCTACTCAACAACAAGAATCCTTTCAAATAGCACGATGAAACTTTCTCCATCTAACATCTAAACTGGATTTCCATCCTCTGCATGGAACGTACTCTCATTTCCTGTCAGAATAAACAAAATTACCTTTACCGTCAACGTCTCTTCATGCCTAATCTCTGTCCTCCTGAACTACGACGCATTAAAAGATAGCTGTTCTTTGTGCTTTAACATCTTTTAACTCTTCCGAACATGGAATCTCCTCGTTGTCATGATAAGAAACTATGCGAATTTTTTTACGACAACATTTTTTGCGTGATAGGTTTCGTGTAGAATAGCCTTCCTTGGGAGGTGGTCCACTTCTCTTGTAAGGACTCTTTAGAGGGTAAGCTGGATTCAAAAGTGCGGTTAAAACACACTTCAAAATTAACCGAATTATTTTATCTTCAATTGCTTCCCAACATGTCACCATAATTTTATGGCATGACACAATGCAACATGGAAATTTGGTCCCTTTTCCTGCCTATCCTGAACTCCTTTTGAAATGTACCTTACTGTTCTCAAAGCAAAAAAAGATACAGGTGAAAAAATTATTTTTCTGTTTATTAGTAAAAATGTAATATGTGATATTTTTCTGAGTACTTTTTTCCATTGTAATCATTAGGCAGGTTTTTTATTCAGCCCAGTCAAGCGACTTACATAAAAATACAGGTAATCATTCATCATATCTGAGTGAGCCCGAGTGCCTCTCCTATTTGTCCAGTGATCCCTCTTCCATCTCATAGATAGCATAACCAAAAAGACATTTTTAAGATCCAGGAATATTTGGGCTCAAACCTGAGACCATCATACTACATCAGAAAATCAAACATTATTCTAGACAGATCTATTCCATTTTGACTTCTATCGAAGCCCCAATAGAACCATTGCCCAAACACAGGTGATCAACTTGGTGATTTATTGGACATCGCATTATGGCAACTATCTTACTCATTAAATCTGGCATTGTCTTGGTCTTTGGTTGTCCTTCCATTTGGCCGTTCAAAACCTTCTTCTTAAACTCGTTGTGCAAATCCACCATTAGTTGATTCATTTCTTCTTGTGTTGCATTTAATGCAAGCAGTGCGAGGAGAAGATTAAGTAGTCCAAACACCAAAACTTTCATTGTTTGCATGAAGCACTGCGGTGTTACGCCATTGTGTATAGACTTTGCGATGAAGCTGACGCAGACGATTGCTTATATACTTCTGTCAAAACGGATTTCATCCCCATCGCAAGCATCAACACCCTTACTCCAGTCTTTCTCCTTCTGAAGTGAGCCAGCTAGGACCGTTTAGCATCAGTTGGAGGTGACGTGTTCCTAATCTGAGCAAAATATTCAATCACCAATTGCATTCCCACCCACTCAATTCATCTCGGGTGTGAACCGGTGAACTCCGTTGTGCCACAGGCTGACACAGGCTTCTACTTTGGATGTTTCTGTGAAACACTGTCCGGTGGCAAAATAGCATTCACATTTTTCTCAAGCCTATCATGTGAAATTTTGTTTTTCACGGAATCATTCCTGACTTCGGTGCATTTTTGTTCCACTCACGTGGCAAACCTTCAAGCTGAACGCAACAATCTAATGGGAGTGTCAATTACGGCTTCTCGGTACGTAACTCCACTTTTGTGGGGGAAAAAAGTCACAATGGAAAACCTTTCTTAGCATAGTCATGATAAGTCAACTACTTTCCTGTATATTCATCGATAAAATGGTGATATTTTACGAAACACGTCCCGATAAAACCAATCAAAAGTGATAACCAATGAAGAGATGGTTGCCTTTGGGTGAAGCAAAACGGCGAAAAAGGTGGCTTATAATTTTTCACTTGTTTTCACACTCAACCAAATCCTATTTTGCTCCAAGCTTTCAATCTGGTTTACTCGGCTTATCACTGCTGTTGGTGGTGGGATCAGCTTTGACTGTTGCAGACTTTTCCAAAGATAACCAATTCTCCGTCTCATGTCTACGGCTCTCGGCTTGTTTATGCAATGAATCACATAGCTATCGCATTCCAATGTCAGTCGGTTTATTGCATGAAGAAGGAAGTGTAGAAGAAAAAGCCCGATATCCGCAAGCATCTGATCAAAATGCAGCCAGAATGCGCTTATAGATCAGTGCATGAGATTTGTGTTTTACAAACAGTTTGAACGGTAGTTCACGTCATCTTGAATTGTCTAGCTCGCTTGGTACAACTGCCTATCTAATGAAAATATATATCCGATTCATCACAAGCTACCTCACTGCTGATTGACAGTCTCTGTGTCACATGCATATGCCTTTCAGACAAAATCGGAACAAACATCAATTGGTTTTTCATATTCATTGATACCTTCAACAGCTAGTGGGAATTTATTGGGGAGTCTCCTCTCTGGATACATTTACTGATTTAAGGCTACCCGCGGTTTGACACAAGTTAAGGTGCAAATTATTCTGGGACTTTAGGACAGAAATTTTACCTAGGGAATTTCACAACAATTGCGGTTAGTTGCACTGAGGATACCACCAACGAGATGGTGTCAAAACTCCAGAGGTCTGATAACAAAGAACTTTTCAGTAAGAACACAGGCATAGAGGATAACTCAATCAATAAGCTTATGAAAAGCTTTTCTGAGTAGCAGAGAATCGACACTCAATTTGTACTCTTTGATGTCTTCCAAAAGTTTTAGCAGTCCTATTTCTAAATTCCAAGGCCAAGAACGATAGAGAGCCAGCAGTTATTTTCTATTTTTCTGACCTCGATCCGACTGATATTCATATAGGTGAATACGGCGTTGCTAACTAGAATCTGTCTGGGTTGTGAGTGTACAGTTCAACCACGGGGTCAATCAAGTAAACCTCTTTCTCATTTAGCCCATTTTTTCACTGATGTGGTGCTTTCCCGGTCTTATTTTCCTTGGTTTACTTGCCGAATTCGTCGGGTTGATCACGTGCACTCTCAATGGTAATAACACATGTCAATATTTGTTACAGAACATTTTTAAATTGAGATACTGAACAATCATTCTTCCGATGAGAATGGTTGTGAATGAGTCTGTTATCAAGTGGTTTTCACTCGGAACACGTTCCATTTTTCTGTCCCTCTCTCTGCGGTCGGTTTGTTCGCTCAGCTGCACAAAGAGTGGTTAGTTCCGATTGCGACAAAATTCGTCGTTCCAAAATAACAGCGAAACGGTGTATATTTAAGAGAAACTTTATTCTGTTCCTGATGGTCACTGTCATTCTGTTGGTTACCACTATTCACTGGCTTTGATTTCACCTGAGCGAGTACCACAGAATTTTCCTGGCCTACCCAGAGCTACACAAGTGAGTATTTTACTTGATTTGACCTGACATAGGCAGACCGAGCTAAGAAAAACCTAAAGCACAACCGTTGTGCTCTGCAAAAATTGATTTAGGTCTACACAGAAACACTTAATTGACCTTCATAATTGGTTTCTTACATTCAGTTGGAAGATTTGTCACATAAGTGGAACAGAAATGCACCAAAGTCAGAAACTATTCCGTGAATAACAAAATCTCACATGGTGGGCTTGAGAAAAAAATGTGGATGCTATCATGTCTCCAGGTTATCTTTCGTAGACACATTCAGAGTAGGTATTTTTCGTGGCCCTTCTTAATGACGTGGTAAATGTATGCAAACCGGAATAGCCTGAGTAACACCCAGGATCAAAACAATCACCATCAAAACATAACAGCGGTGTTGGCCTGCATTCCAGCGGTCCTGTCCACTTGAAGGCAGTTGTTATCCGGTCGAAGGATGCAATCAGGTGATTTGCATGCCTTCCTTTAACTTGTCGCATTCGCTCCCTGTCACGTAGCTACGTTCATTGACAATCCACAATTATCCATAACTGTGTTATAAGTAGACAGCTAGTTGTTCGGTAAGTAGTAGGCGTACTGCACCACACTTTGTAATTCTGTAATAACTCCATCTGGGATTCGAACCCGGTGCGTATTGTTTTGAAATGTGTGCGGTCATCCAAGCTGCCTCCGGAAAGCATTGAGCATAGTAAAATTTTACTTACTCTAGGCCACAGCTGTAAACCGTGATCCTAGACATGGAAATTTATCAGTTTTCTTGCAATTCGCGTGCACACACCCAAATGTTGTTAAGGCTGTCCAAACGACGTTTCGTCAGCTGGAATCAAAACTGGTATGTTGGAGGCGGAATAAACTTACTATTAGGGTTTCGTATTAAAAAATGATAATTGTGTGGCAAAAATTTACAGCAGTTCCTCCTTGTTTTCTCCCATGTATGTGATGAGTTCCAGAAGCACATGAGAATATGAAGCCCATCGCAACATTCCAATATCAAATTGTGACTGGCTTATTTTTGAAATTGTTCTGCGAGAGAGCAAAGCAGAATGAATCATGCATTTTGACCGTGGAAACGAACCGGGGGTTAGCGGAATTAACCGGTGATGCGTCAATCCTAGTTCAGAATTCAAGCACCGAGACTTGATCACTCGAAAAGAGTGGTACCATCGTTTGTGTAGGTGTGCTTTTTCTGTACTTGTCAATCCGCTAGTCGCTTCCGATCCTGTTAAAAACAGTTTAACAAATATTTTTTACTTTAAAAGGAAATTGATTAGGGAACGTCATACATGTAGGAAAGATAACAGATAAGATGCATGAAGAAGAGCAAAATGGTGGTGCGGAGTAGAAAAATATGATGCAGAGAGAGAAACATGGGAAGTAATGTGCAGTTAGGTATCCAAATCATCATCCGAATCACTCTTGACATCCATATAATCTTTATAATGATCATCCTCATCACCACCATCGTCATCAGTAACGTCGTCATCATATTCAACATCATCATCACCCGAAAACCCTTCCTCATCATCATAACCTTTATCAACATCTTTAACCTCAAATACGTCATCACTCGATTCATCAGCAACATAATCATTATCATCATCATCATGGAACGCATCATACTCATTGTCATCACCATCAGAATAATTTCCATTTTTATTATCATCATCAAGATGATCGTAATCACGATTTCTGTCTCCATCATAATTCTCATGCGAATCACTTCGTCAACATCCGAATCATGATCATCAACATACTCTTCACAAAAATAGACATCACCATCCTCACCACTCTCGACTTCATCGGAACCACTGTCAAAATAACCGACTTGTCTGATTCCTCATCGTCATCATCCAAATCATCATCTTTATAGACACCGTCGTCCGAATCATTATCAACATCATCTTCACCGTCATCATCATCATCATAATCATCGTCATGAGTAACCTCATGCGGTTTATCATTATCGTCATCAATTCCATCGTCACCATGTGAAAAATGTTCCTCCTCATCATCATCACCAAAATCCACACCGTCAAATTCGTCGCCATTCCATACATCACCACCGTCAACATCACCATCATCAGCGACGAAAAAATCATCAATGACATCATCATCCGGATGATAATGTTCATCAGGGACGACAAGATTCAAATCGTTATCATCATCGTCATCATCATCATCATCATCATCATCATCATCCGAATCATCATCATCATCCTCCGAGCCATCATCATTATCCCAAGTGACCGTGTGTCTAAAACAGCCTCTGCTAAAGAAGTCCTACTCACTGCCTTCTCGTGTCGGAGGTGTTCCCACTAAAGTAAGAGGACGAAAGCGAATGTCCAGGTTGGCTGATTTGCAATCAGTTATACCCTGATTCCAATCAAACCATTTGTGGTGTATGGGGCGTAAAGTGTTATGCTCTCCGGCTTCTGTGGCGAAGAGGGACATTGGGCAACCAAGATGTTCGGCCCTATTCAGAAGGGCGTATGAAATGAGCATTCAGTCAACGGCTTCCAGTGGATTACTGAACCTATGCTCCGTCGCACTGCCCTGCGGGCAAGCCTTCATTAGCTAAGGGCTCTGGTAGTGGACCCCTTAGAAAGCCACCTACTTTGACTTGGGCAACCTGGCAGCATCGCGTCTAGAAACAAATCGCGGACTCGCACTATCTACAGCTTCCTCCACGATTGTATCATGTTTTGTTAGGCGCAGTCTCAAATCAGGCAGGTATATATATATATATATATATATATATATATATATATATATATATATATATATATATATATATATATATATATATATATATATATATATATATATATATATATATATATATATATATATATATATATATATATATATATATATATATATATATATATATATATATATATATATCCTTACGAACTTAGTCAGTGATCAAAATGTGATGTAACGTGCTTCACTCACTTGACCCATCTGGAACGTGCGAGCCAAGTGTGAGGCCGGAATGAGGCACAGGTAGAACATGCAAGACTATGCATAGTTGAACTGGAAAATCTTATCGAACTGGAACATTGGAAATACAAAATCAGTGACTCAGACAGACTGGAGGCGATGTTTTCGCGAAAAGTCCAGACTTCTCCACTAAAGACACACATTCAACCGATTTTTTTCGGATTAGCCAACGATTTGTTTTCCTGCATCGATAAAAAGAAACTTAGTTGACTTCTGAGGAATACGGTGGTGACCTCGAAAAAGTCAAGTCTCTTCGCAAAGAGTACGGTAAATTTTCACAAGATGTCAAACTTTAAAAACACAGGCTCACGAATTAAAGGACGAAGAGGATAGGCCATTGAAAAAAGAACTGTGTTGAAGTTTTGTGGTGCACAAAAAAATCAAAATAATTTCGAAAAGCACTGAATAGACTCGAAGAGCAGATAGAACACAGACATCAGAAACAGTTCGACATGCATGAAATACGACAACTTTTTCGTGGTATCTTGGATGAATGCGAAATCAATCTTCTTCTCAGCTAGCGATTGCGGTTGAGATTTAATGTTGATTCATACACATTGGAGATAGACCTCGCAGCTTTGGAGGAAAAGTTGGTTTGGTTAGGTGCAGTCGCTGAGGCAGTAGCTGTAAAACATTCGAAATCCAAGGAATTAATTCACGAAAAATGTCGCACTCTTCTAAATGCATGGGAAAAGCCTAAAGCCAAAACTGCAGAAAAGCGACCAAGAATCGGTGAGACATTTAAGCTTTAACGGTTTCTGGTGAGTTAGTGAAATTTGAATCTCTGGGTATCCAAAATGAAGACCGTGATCGAGGCGGATGAGCTTGTAATAAACGTTGCTGGCGCAGATGTTCACGTCAATCGTCAATCGGTACAGTCTCTCTTCAGGATAGTTCCCAGACTTGTATGCAAGAAGGAAAGAATTTAATAGAGTTCGATGTCACCGACAGTGTTGATGTCACCACTAGGCTTTCAGAGTCGGAACATGAATGGAAGGCACTTATCAACATGTGGAAAGCTCAGCGAATTCAGCTTGAACAACGTGTCCCTTCAGCTCTGTTATCGGGTGGTGGAACGGGCACAGTGTTGGATGTCTAAACAGGAAGCTACGTTTCAAGCTACTAAGGTGGAATTCAACATTGAATCCGACGATACAAATCGAGTGATCCACTACAAGACGGCATATTCAGTAAAGTTTCTTCCACAAGTGAATAGTATCTTACCAAGCCATCAACTGGCAGCGCTAGCCGCATCTGAGTTCTATCCGATTTCCGTAATGCAAGAACATGGAGATCGGATCACTGTTGGGGTGCGACCTGCCAGAAGTATATTAGATACAAGACCAACGTTTGGGTGAAACGGACGAACCATATGCTGTAAAAGCAGTCCTGGGATGAATGGTGATAGGACTCGTATAGGTAACTTCGATGAAAATGAAGAATGTTCATTGTTATAGGACCGCTGAACTTAAAGGGGAATTAGGGAGATTCTATCAACAAGACTCGTTAGATGAAGGCCCATCAAAGGAAAAGGATATGTCCGTACGAGACCGCGAGGTCCTAACAACTATGAGAAAGACAGCATGCTTTCTACACGGATATCATGAAATGGCCTTACCATGACGAACAGATTCAACGATGTTATCGGCTGTTTAGGCATATATAGTACAACGCTCATTTCAGCTCGATAAACGTCCTTGCACCGACCAGAGAGAGCAACCATTGTTCTTACTTGCTTCATCGTGCCAACGTTCTTTTGACAAAGCAACAAGCAGAAAACATTGAATTCGCGGACCGATAGCAGCAATAAATATCAAATGGCATGGGTCGAACAGTGTAAATTTACAAGCCCATCCCTGGGAAACAAGCGATCTATCATAATGGTAATTTCAGAGGTGAGCCTGGTTCAAACTCCTTATTGATTCGCTTGGGTACTATATCGGGAACGTCAGCGCTGCAGAACCACATACAACAACGCCCATGATGTTAGTTCCATCAGCGTACGCAAATGCCACTCGGCTGATGATTTCTGTTGTCCCCGAAAATCCGACCACCACTGGTGCTGCATCTCTAGGAATGATAAGAGCCAATATGACCCCGGGCTCAAAGACACCCGTGCAGTCAGTGAAAGGATCCTTGACGTTGTCTTCCGTAACCTTTATTCAACCAAACATCACAGTGGGACAATCACGAATTACGAGCATCACTAACACCAATGACGGTTCGCAATCATGCGCATCAAGTGAGCCCCCTGATCCGAAACAACCTGCTCAGCCATATTTCACAGAAGAGGTAAACAAATTTTTCAATGGTTCGACTCAACGAGCCACATGATATTTTCCTGCCCGTGACGGCTACCAGATCTTCTAGTGTCAGTGATTTGTCTGAGGTGCATGGCGCAGCTGTGGTCGGTCAAGTTCGTGTCTTTGTTCGATGTTCGGGGCCAGGAAGAAATATGACTTATGGAAACACGGAAGTCAACTAGTCCAAACCAAACACTAGGAGTTTCTCCAATGGGAATGAGTAACATTGATTTTTCGGCCGTCAGTTTACTCGGTTCGCTAAGTCACACGGGTCCGAAAGATCGTAATACTCCTTCGACCACTGAGACCAGATTTTCCCTTTGTCTCTCTGGCGGACTGGATACAATGTGCCCGTCTATCACTACAGGATTTTCCGCTTGCATACAACCGTTGAATTAGGATTTACAAAAATGGCTGAATGTGCATTGCATGATCCCGTATTCAATAAAATTGTTTGTTCTGCAACTAATGAAACTTCATAAGAAACCAAAGCATTTGTTGAACCCATGGATCTCCTACCACCTCAGAATTTGTGTTTTCGAATAGATGGAATGGGTGTTAGATCAGATACCAGGAAAACCGTGTTCATGAAGCCTCCATTGGCAGTTGAATAAGCGAATGGTGACGGGTAAGAAGGAGCGGACAGTGGCAGGGGTATGCGAACCACGGATAACAGAGATCAAAACAGTTTTGCTACTAGAGCTCATCAGTGGCGTTCATCCTTCACCAAACTCACGGTTTGAACCCGAGCCTGTTCATCCCGACGGTGTGTGTGTTGCTACTGCGCCACCCCGGTACGTCAGGGCTCATACAAATCACCAAGTTAAACTTAATCAGATGACATCTTCTATGAGAGCCAGAAATATCCAACAGCTTTGAGTGTAGATGCGGTACCTGCTCAGTTAACTTCAAGCGAATGCCTCCCACCGTTGGATGCAATGTGAATGCTTGAACACAGATGTCGAGCATCAGACTACGCAATATATTCCTAAACAATTCGACGCTTTACTACTAGTGCCTACTTTAGCCAAGTTGATTGAATTTAGGGTCATTTAAATGTCTTCCAGGCAGTTAACATACACTGGCGTCATACATGTCAGTCTTACATAAACCAGGGTGTGTTCATGGAACAAAAATTGATTAAATAAACGTTACAGCTGAAGATGGATTGAATGTAAATTCAGTTTCACCCTCGGTGGCAACTCATCGGGACTGCTGACTTCATCACACTTCATCTTCATTCGTTCCCAATATACTTAGGAGGAATATATCAAATGCATTAATCATTGGACATGTCCGCTAACTTACCTCTCTCTCATCCACTTTTCACGTGCTTTATTCTAACCGACTTGATAGTATGCTACATAGTGTCTACTACTTGCCTACTCTCAAGCGTATGAGTAGTAAGTTGCGAAATTCGAGCTGCACAAGGAGTACTCAGATTCACGGTCCACGCTGTACTTTTGTAATGATCGTCTCTTGCAAAACACGAAAATTGTGGACTGCTCTTACTTGACCACGGATTTTATATTCGTGTTCTACAATTTACTCATTCACTGGACAGCGGTTCATTTACGTAGGTTTCAGGTAAATAACTTTGGAGAATGTTGGGTAATTCTGTTTAGCTTCATTTCTCAAAATGGAAACAAATTGCATTGAAATTCCGGGAAAATTAAACAGTTCCATAGTGAACCGCGTACTTCCAGGGACTTTTGATAAACCACTACAGTCCAAATTCTTCTATCTTTAACTGTTTTGGTAAAAGTATAAGATATCAAAGTATGCGAAATGCGTTTGGTATTTATGCCACAGATCGTGAGTTAGAAAGAGATCCCTAAACAAGCTTCTGTTCACACACACTGGTCTGTACATGAAGGTTGCGCAGATTAGTATTCATAACTGTATGCCGGAGAGGAACAATAGTAAATCAGTCAGAAGTAGAGCTCTTACAGCAGTGGGAGGACTGCGAAGCGCGATCGGTTGATCAGGTAAGACAACTGGTCCAAAGTTTGTTATATGATGTTATCCGACGATCAGAACCTCATTGCCGTTTGAATGTCTCCCACCAGAACTATCACTTTCTCATATCAATCAATATTTGTAATGGTCAAAATCTGTATGGAATCAACACAATTATCTAATAATTGATGTTCCCAAGGGTTAGCAAATGGCCGATGAGAGAATTCATATGAATTTAATGGTTTCACTTCTACTGTGAGTGTTTAAGCTTTTTTCAACAGCCGGCTTGACACATCTCGTGCGGTAGGTAACGAACGACCCGTACCAAAATAGCAGTGACAGCTACCCACCAATTTGGAACTTAAAGTGCAGTTGTCCGGAACGCACATGGCTTGCAATCCTGGTGTGAACCTCTATCACGGCTGATCCGAATTCTCAGTGATAAATGTAGCAACCCACGAGAGCCATTACATTGGTATTGTATGAAAATGTACAACTGGTGGTGATGGTTGGTGAAGTATCATTCGGACCGGAGAGACTTAGAAAGTCACGCAAAGGTGGTACAATACATCCATCCGGAGGTGTTGTTGAAGGTTATAATTAGGGACATGATGGAAAACGAAGGGTGGAGCAATCGAAGTAGTTGTGGGTAGAGAGAAGAGGAGTCCGAGGAAAGGAGGATTGTTATCAATGCAGTATTTTGTAAGGTTTCGGGTAGTTGTGCGACCGATCTGAATGAAATTTTGATAA